TACTTTTTTAAATATTTATTTTTTTAGTTGTAGTTGGACACAATATCTTTATTTGTTTATTTATTTATTTATATGTGGTGCTGAGGATTGAACCCAGGGCCTCGCATGTGCTAGGCCAGCACTCTACTGCTGAGCCACAAGCCCAGCCCCCATCACCTTTATTTTTATCTATTTATATGCAGTGCTAAGAATTGAACCCAGTGTCTCACACATGTTAGGCAAGTGCTTTACCACTGAGCCACAACACCAGCCCCTATTTTATTTATTTTTATGTGGTGTTGAGGATCAAATCCAGTGCTTCCTGTGTGCTAGACAAGTGCTTTACCACTAAGCCACAACCCTAGCCCCCCAGAGTTTTTTTTTTAAAGTACTTCCTGGGCTGGGAGTGTAGTTCATTGGTAGAGTGCCTGCCTGGCATGCACTAGACCTTAGGTTAAATATCCAGCACCATAAAAATAAAAATAAAATAAAGCAATCCAACTCTATTAGGTTTTTGTTTAAATCAATGATCTTTTTTTTTTTTTTTTTTTTTGGTACCAGGGATTGAACTCAGAGACATTGATCACTGAGCCACATCCCCAGCCCTATTTTGTATTTTGTTTTATTTTTTTCTATTTTGTATTTTATTTAGAGACAGGGGGGTCTCACTGAGCTGCAGAGCACCTTTTTTCTGCTGAGGCTGGCTTTGAACTCAGGATTTTCCTTTCTCAGCCTCCTGAGCTGCTGGGATTACAGGCATGTTCCACTGCACCTGGCTCAATGATCTTTTTTTTTTTTTTTAAGTGGTTTATTCAGCACACAGTTCAGGCAGTTGAAAATCCAATCAGTATGGCACCAGATCTGGTGAGAATGCCCCTGGCTATGTCACAACATGGCAGAGGGCATCACAATGGAATTACACCAAGAGGGAGAGATCACTTGGTGAGATGGGAAGCCAGAAGTGACTTGGAGGTCAGATTTGCTCTTTTATAGCAACTTGCTTTTTTGGTTTTTTTTTTTTTTTGTTTTTTTTTTTTTTTTTTTTTTTGGACACTGGGGATTGAACTTCACTGAGCCATATCCCCAGCCCTTTTATTTTTTTATTTTGAGACAGGGTCTTGCTAAGTTGCTTAAGTCCTGGCTAACTTGCTGAGGCTGACCTCAAACTTGCAATCCTCCTGCTGTTGGAATTACAGGTATGCACCACCATGCCTGGCTAATACAATGATCCCACCCTCCCTCATCCATTATTTTCATGTGGCTGAGTTGAGGAAGCTAAGTGGGCTCCTGTTTGTGTCTTATCCTATTGCCACTATTTTAATTGTGGCATTTCTTCTTTGGGAACATTCTGTATAATCAGGGGAAGTGCTACATGTGCCTAAAATATCTATTCTTACCATACTTTAAGCATTATCAATTTAAAGCATTGGGTGTGTATTGGTCAAATAAACCATGGCACGGTTTGAATAAGCATCAACTGTGTTGAGGTACCACAGATTAGCCAACAGGACATAACCATCCAATAGTCCATTTATTAGGAGCAAGGGGGGGCCAATGTCCTATGTAACCAGGACTCACAAGACCACTGGGCCAGGTCTTGACAGAAGTTGCAGGTCTGGCATGCAATGGTGGTTTCTGTAACAGAAACAGAATCTTCTATTTTATAAGAGACAGCGTTTTTTTTTTTTTTTTCTCTTGACTTGCAGAAGGCCTGAATGTTGTGAATTCACTCACATAGATATGAGAAACTGCTTGGTGAGCAAGACTCTGGTTTTGTTGGGATTGATCAGCTACCCCTGCTGGTAGAGCTGAGACAAAGCCAGACTGAGGCTTTTGACTAGCCAATCCACAGGACATCATCCACGTTGTGAAAGCTTTGGGAGTCAGAGGGTAGAGTCACTTGCACTGAATCTTGACTGGTGATGAATAGCATGGAGAGCTCCCCATTCATGCTTTTTACATGAGGCAGTGACCTGAAAAGAGAAAAAGGATGAGCTATGGGATTCCACGGGGTCTCCTCATATCCCTGAAGTTGGTCTGTACAGTTCCCCTGTTGTTCTCCAAAAAGGCATTGTGGCCTTACTTGGCCCCATGTCGAGTGCCCATTTGTCAAACTGTCAAGCAATCCCTAAGCACCAGTGCAGTTAAATTTGGTTCATCACATTTCCATAGATTTAGCTGGTATGCAGACAACAAGCCCACGAGAATTTATTATGTACAGACAGTAAAAGCAATGTCAGTATTGTTTTACTCCTCACAGACTTCCTCCCATGGGACTACACTGAACCAGGGGTGACAGATGACAGAAAACATCCATGGTGGCTTGCTCCATCATGGAGGATCTTCTTCTAAACTATAGATAAGCCATTTCATAGACTTGCACAGAAGTCTTTGGCTATAGCCAGGCATGGTGGCACATACCTATAATCTCATCGATTTAGGAAGCTGAAGCAGGAGGATTCCAAGTTCAAGGAGAGCCTCAGCAATTTGACTGAGACCCTAAGCAATTTAGCAAAGCCCTGTCTCAAAATAAAAAAAATAAAAAGGGTTGGAGATGTAGCTGAGTGGTAAAGCACCCCTGAATTCAATCCCCAATACTAACGGGGGAAAAAAAGAAATTAAATGTATAAGATTATTCTATTCATAGGTAATTTCAATTTAGAGGTCCTTTGCATTCCCTCATTTGTCCTTTGTACAGTTGCTGTGTATTCATAGTAACTTTTTGTAAACCTTCAAGAGTTATAAACAAAACAGTTCTCTGTTGCCCGAGACTTATATTTAAATCAATATTATGAGCCAAACATCTAAATTAATTTCTTTCTTTCTCTTTTTTTTTGTACTAGAGATTTAACCCAGAGGCATTTTACCACTGAGTCACATCCAAAACCTTTTTATTTTTCATTTTGAGACAGGTTCTCCAAAAGTTGTTGAGGACCTTGCTAAGTTGTTGAGGCTGGCCTCAAACTTGTGATCTTCCTGTCTCAGCCTTCGGAGTTGCTGGGGATTATGGTATGTACCACCACGCCTGACACATTTAAATTTCTTTTAACACATGATTAGCTGTTTATATCTTCTATACTGCAGGCAAGTTAAATTCAGATTCTTATCCTCAGTTTTTAAATTAAACTGGATTTTTTTTTTTTGGCGGGGGGGGTACTGGGGATTGAACCCAGAGGCACTTAACACTGAGCCACATCCCCAGGCCTTTTGATTTTTTTATTTTGAGACAGGGTTTCGCTGAGTTGCCTAAGGCCTCCCCAAATTGCTAACGCTGGCTTTGAACTTGCAATCCTCCTGCCTCAGCCTCTTGAGCCACTAAAATGGATTTTAATAAGTAGTTCAGGGCTGGGGATGTAGCTCAGTGGTAGAGCACTTGCCTAGCATGCTGGAGATCCTGGATTCCATTCCCAGCATTATAAACAAACAAATGAAAAACCACTTTGTATTGTTGTTAATATTTCCATGAAGTGAAATTTTCTAATAAGGATGCATTTGAAAGCACAGGGAAAGGAAGAAACATGAGATTAAATGGTAAGAATGAGAGAAGCACACAAAAAAGGAAGAAAACAAGATTTAAAAAAAAAACAAGATTTTTTTTTAATTTTGAAGAACATCATGTCAATTTTTTAGACTTTACTAGTCCTGCCAAAATCTTAGGATAATTCAGCTCTAAGAATCATTTTTGTTCTGGTACTGAAGATTGAACCCAGCAGTACTCTACCACTAAGCTACATCCCCATCCTTTTTTGGGGGAGATGGGTGGGTACCAGGGATTGAACTCAGGGGCACTCACCTACTGAGCCACATCCCCAGCCCTATTTTTTATTTTATTTAGGGACAGGGTCTCACTGAGTTGCTTAGTGCCTCACAGTTGCTGAGGCTGGCTTTGAACTCGTGATCCTCCTGGTTCAGCCTCCTGAGCTGCTGGGATTACAGGCATGTAATCCACTGTACCTGGCCCCAGTCCTTTTTTTGTGTTCACACAGGGTCTTGCTAAGTTGCTGACATTGGCTTCAAACTTCCTCCTGCCTCAGCCTCCATTGTCATTGGTATTTCAGATGTGTGTCACATGCCTTGTAAGAATCTTTTTTTGTGTGTGTGCTGTGGATTGAAACCAGGGCCTCATGCATGCTAGGCAAGCACTCTACCACTGGACTACACTCCCAGCCCATAAATTTTTAGATTAAAAAAAAAATACATATTTTTTTTAGTTGTAGATGGACACAATATCTTAATTTTATTTATTTATTTTATGTGGTGCTGAGGATCAAACCCAGTGCTTCATGTGTGTGAGGCAAGTGCTCTACCACTGAGCAACAACCCCAGTACCTTAACTTTTTTTTTAACATTTATTTTTTAGTTGTAGTTGGATATGATACCTTTATTTTATTTATATGTGGTGCTGAGGATCAAACTCAGGGCCCTGCACGTGCTAGGCAAACGCTCTACCGCTGAGCCACAACCCCAGCCCCTTAATTTTTAATAATTCGAATAATCATTCAAAAAATGATGGGCTGGGGCTGTAGCTCAATGGTAGAATGCCTGCCTTGCACATGTGAGGCACTGGGTTTGATTCTCAGCACCATATAAAAAGAAATAAAGGTATTGTGTCCATCTACAACTAAAAAATATTTTAAAAAAAGAAAATAAATGACAAGTATTGGACCTTTATTTTATTTATTTATATATGGTGCTGAGAATTGAACCCAGGGCCTCATACATGGTAGGCAAGTACTCTACCACTGATCCAAACCCCAGCCCCTACAAGTATTAGGAAGGAAAATTGTACCTTTTTTGGTAGTGTTGGTGCTGGTGATTGAACCCAAGGCCTGGCCATTCTAGTCAAGGGCTCTATGAGCTATATCCTCAGCCTGGAAGTTATACCTTAAATTTTTGGCTTTTCCTTCCCCTTTCCCTTCCCTTCCCCTCCCCCCTTCTTCCCCTTCCCCCTTCTTCCCCTTCTCCCTTCCCCCTTCCCCCTTTCCTCCCTCCCCTCTCCTCCTCCTCCTCTTCCTCTCCTCCTCCTCCTTCTCCTCCTCCTCCTCCTCCTCCTTCTCCTCTTCCTCCTCCTCCTCCTCTTCCTCCTCTTCTTTTTTGTGGTGCTGGGGATTAAACCCAGGGCCTTGTGCACTGTAAGTTTTTTTTCTCAGTGCATCATGATTATACATAATCATATGGGAGTCATTGTCACATATTCACACAAGGTAATTTTTAAAAATGTAAATACTGTTTATTTAACTTCAAAAAACATTTCAGCATTGGAAACATACAAAAAATAACATAACATTGCAAATTGTATTTAAGTACAAAAGGTTCTTGAACTTTCATTGATGCAGTGGCTCTTTGCTTTGCTGACAATGAAGAATTCGACAGTTTGTTTGAAAACAAAGTTTAAAATCTCCTGTACTTAATTTAAAAAAAAAATCAACATTTCTCATGCCAGCTGACTTCCCCTTTTCCACAACTAAGAAAGGTAACAGAATGGTATATCACTATATACAAAAACAAGACAACCTGAAGCTAAATGGATGCCCACTGTAGTGTCAACAGATTTAGCCTCACAGTGCACACCCTGAGCTACAGCGCCTCCAAAAGGCATATTCCCCCACAGCCTCAAAGCCAAGCAAGGAACATCAAGAGTGTCTCAATTGTTTTGTTCTTTTTACAAACTATAGATATATACAGTTGTAACTAAGGGCTTCTAGCCAATAACCAAATAGTTAACACCACCTTACAAATTAAAAAAAAAATGCCAGAAACATTCAAATATTTTGTCACCCCAACAGCAAAATGTACAGAGTGAGGAGAACATATTTTTAAAATGTTTGGAAATACATACAACTTTGATAGTTTCAGGGTGCCCAGGGCCACTTCCTGTAAACCACTGAGAATTTCTAGAGTATATTGAGAGACTACAATATGATTGTGATCAAATTCTGTAATTGAACTAATGAGAGTAACAGACGTATCTTAAATAAGATGTGTCAATCACGGACGGCGCTCCGATACTCCAAGGTATTCATAAGCAGATGGATAAACGGCTTTTTTATTCATCCTCCTCTTCCTCATCTTCTCCTACCGTTTTCCCAGCATCTTTAGTGGGGCCCTTTGCGCCACCAAACTTTCGTTTTGACTTGTAGTCAGCAACATCCTTCTTGTATTTCTCCTTCAGCTTTGCAGCCTTAGTGATGTACGGCTGCTTTTCGCCGTCACTTAAATTTTTCCACATCTCACCCAGATTTTTCGCCACTTCTCCGATGGAGATACCAAGATGTGTGGACTTGATCTTCGGGCGGAATTCTGAACAGAACATCAAGAATCCAGACGGTGGTCTTTTGGGGGCATCACGGTCCTTCTTGCCTCGCTTACCTGGTCCATAATCCTTCATTTCCCGATCATACCGTACTTTATCTGCCTTTGCCATTTCATCAAATTTAGATTTCTCTTTCCCGGACAATGCCTTCCATCTTTCAGAGCACTTCTTGGAAAATTCTGCAAAATTGACAGGAACTTTTGGATTTTTCTTCTTATGTTCTTTTCTGAAAGTCTGAACAAAATAGGCATAAGCAGACATCTTGCCCTTTGGTTTCTTGGGGTCACCTTTAGGCATCCTGATGTCCATTTTGTCAAAAGCCTCCTGATGAAAGAAAGTGCCCCTTGAATCCGATGCTGCCACCCGTCCAGGACCGACGCCACAGGTTTCTGAGGGGTTGGGGCTGTGTGGCTGGGGGTGGATGGGTGGGGATGGGTGTGGCCTGCGGTTGCCTCACAAAATGTAATTTGTTACATATGCACACCACATATATGGTACCTAGTAACCACCCCCCCTTTTTTTTTCCAGTACTAGGTATTAAACCCAGGCCTACTCTACCATGGGGTTATACCCTCAGCCCTTTTAATTTTAAGACAGGTTCTTTTTGATATTTTTTGGCTAGCTCCAAACTTGTGATTCTCCTTCATTAACTTCCCAAGTAGCTGGGATTATGGGCCGGTACCACCACACCCATCTAGGAGCCATCATTTTTTAGGGGACAAATTGCTGTCGATTTGGTTTCGTTGTAATGGCAACCTCAGCTGGCATCATGGACCACCAAGAAGTAAACTTGGAGGCAAGAGGTGGGCAATTGATTTCATCAGGTATAGCCTGGGCTACTTTATGTCCTTGGTTCTTTTATCCCTCCTTTAGAAGCTGGGATCCTCTTTTAGTGCTAACCCTATGAGCTCTTCCTCCTGCAACCCCAAGAAAATGGCTGTTCAAAGTACCGTCAGTGTCAGGCAGAATAACATTTGTGTTTGGAGGACTATCAAATATACAGACTATGTTTGGTATCAAAGTGGTCAGATACTTAAAAGAAAGATGTGATTTCAGCCAAACTGCTTCAAATAATTAAATATACAAAAGTTCAATTTAATAGGGGTGAAGGCAGGAAGTAATACTCTTTTTTAGTGGTGTTAGGGATGGAACCCAGGGCTTGAGCATGCTAGGCAAGCACTCTACCACTGAGCCATTCCCTAGCCCCATAATACTCTTCTATTTATTTGTTATTTTTTAGTTTTACATGACAGTAGAATGTATTTTGACTTATCATACATACCTAGAGTATAACTTTCCATTCTTGTGGTTGTAGAGGAAGTGGAGTTTCACTGGTCGTGTATTCATATATGAACATAGGAAAGTTATGTCTGATTCATTCTACTATCTTTCCCATTCCTACCCTCCCTCCCTTCCCCTTAATTCCCCCTTTCTAATTCCGGGAACCTCCACTCCTCCTTCTCTATTGTGAGTCAGCATCCACATATCAGAGAGAACATTCAGCCTTTGGTTTTATAGGATTGGCTTATCTCACTTAACATGATAGTTTCCAGTTCCATCCATTTACCAGCAAATGCCATAATTTCATTCTTCTGTATATATGTACCACACCATGATACTCTTTTTATTCACATTAATGTATGACAATCTCCCAAAATGTGATACAAAGCCCAAAATAGAAATGGGATTCCCCTCTTGAGAACCTTAAGTACGGGAATCTACATAGTTATAAGGCTAATGGACACACACACACACACAATCATATGTGTGTGTATGTATATGATATATATATATATATATATATATATATATATATATATGTATATTAGTATCATATATATGCTAATGGGCTAAAGTATACTGATATGTGTGTGTATGTGTGTGTAAATCTATGCTTTAGCTATATTCTTCCAGGTGTTTAAGGGCAATTGGTCAAAACTGATCTTGTGTGCTGGGGTTGTGGCTCAAATTAGAGTGCTCACTCACCTAGCATGCATGAGGTACTGGGTTCGATCCTCAGCACCATATAAAATAAAATAAAGATATTGTGTCCACCTATAACTAAAAAAGAAATATCAAAAAAACTGATCTTGTTCCTATCTACTTTTAAAAGTCACCTGAGATTCCTCAGAGATCACTAAACATTGTGCGTGTAACTTATTTTTTTTTAAGAGAGAGAGAGAGAGAGAGAGAATTTTTTATTTTTTAGTTCTCGGCGGACACAACATCTTTGTTGTATGTGGTGCTGAGGATCGAACCCTGGCCGAACGCATGCCAGGCGAGTGCGCTACCGCTTGAGCCACATCCTCAGCCCATGTGTAACTTATTGACAACAGGTTACCTTTATCCAGTTATAAACATTAGATGACAAAAATAAATACCAACTGAATTTGTTATTTCTATATGAATCTGAAGAAGGCTATTACTACCGATAATTTTAGTTTGGAGAACACGAACTTGATAAAGTGCTCTCCCCTAAGCTTTACATTTAACTAAGTTTAACTTTTAAAGTAAAATTTAGAATCTATAGTGTACGGTAACAATAATCAATGCAAAAATCAATGGATAGGGGCTGGGATTGTGGTTTAGCAGTAGAGCACTTGCTTAGCACGTGCAGGGACCTGGGTTTGATCCTCAGCACCACATAAAAATAAATGAATGATAAAAAGGTATTGTGTCCAACTACAACTAAAAAAAATATTTTAAAAAAGTCAATGGAGGGGCTGGGGATGTGGCTCAAGCGGTAGCGCGCTCGCCTGGCATGCGTGCGGCCCGGGTTCGATCCTCAGCACCACATACAAACAAAGATGTTGTGTCCGCCGAAAACTAAAAAATAAATATTAAAAAAATTCTCTCTTTCTTTCTCTCACTCTCTCTTTAAAAAAAAAAAAAGAAAAGGTTTCTTTCTAACTTCTGGTGCTTCTTTAAAAAAAAAAAGTCAATGGATAGCCTTAAATATCTTATACATTTAGGAAACAGTGTTAATAATCAGAAATTGACTTAGTCAAAGCAAACAGATATAAGACAGGTCTTCAAATGACAGTGTGGCCCTTCTATGTCAGATACAATATATAAAAGAGATCACTTATTAGTTATCTTGCCAGTAAATTTTCATTTTGTAAACTTTTCCATAACACTTAGACAAGGCTTAGACTGATAGTTCTCAGATGCATATATATACCTAGTCACATATATTTAGGGTGTCAACTATATTTTTATAACCTAAGTAACAGATGTTTGTTTAACCAGTTACAAAGTAATCATTTAAGACTTTAACACAGGTACAAACCCTAAGTCCTTTAAGACTTAGTTTCCTCAAGTAATAAAACCTAACAAATACAAGAAAATTATCTTGATAAGAGCAGATGGATATTTCAGACTTTACTTCCTATCAATACATTAAAGTTCAAATAACTTTGACTGTGCTACTTATGGCCAATTTAATCACAAACACAAACTTTCTGAGATTACCTTCCACAAACCTGTGACTTACTAAGACATTCACAACTTTACATCCTTAGTTTTGTCCTCTTTCATCTTGGACTTTACCTAAAGAATATTTCTTTACCAGACAAAATACTTTCTCATTCAGAAACATTTCTTTTACCTTCTAATTTTCCATGCTAAAATATGTTTTCATACCTATAACTTCCTTTTATCTTTTCTAGTTTTGGACCCTTTATTAAACTCATATTCTGAAACAGTCCTTATGTTATCTGTGCATTTAATTTACACAACAAATTTCATCCCAGGAGAGGGTTGGAAAATCTAGCATATACAATAAAATTGTCTTAATCTTTTCTCTCCCTTGTGGCATTCAAGGGGTTGGAAGACAGGTTATTTTTGAGCCTTGCCGAAGTCTGGCTGGGCACAATTCAGGAGCCACTTGTCAAAAGAAACGAACTTTATTTTTAGAACCACACAGGCCAAACAAAACCGCTCCTCAGGAAAAACCCTCAGAGCCCAATTGCCACCACCGGCTTCCCACAAGCCTCTCTCACAACCACAAGCCTCTCCACCTCCCCCAATCCTCCTGCTCTTGAGGCCGATTGGCTGGGTCATGTGGGCGGAGCCAAAAAGTCCCCCAATGAGCAGCTCCGTGGTCTGAAAGGGCAGGGAAACAGCCCAATGAGCATCACCGCAGAGGAGCCAATCAGCTAGATGTTGCTGGGGCGCTGTGAGCCAATCATCAGCTGGCAGTCTGAAAGTTTGCTGGGGCCCCTTCAGCTGTGGCTCTCAACAGAGCCTGACCTATCTCTCTTATCATTATCAAAATGCCATCCACTGTAAGTGATTTCTCCACTGTCATTTCTACCCAGAGGCTCCTTTTTGGCCTTTTTCTTATTCTAGGCATATTGATGTGCAATGGAGGAGGCCCTGTCCATCCTTTTCTTTTCCTTTTTTTACATTTATTTTGCTTATTTAATTTTTATGTGGTGCTGGGGATCGAACCCAGGGCCTCACATGTGCTAGGCAAGCATTCTGCCACTGAGCTACCACCCCAGCCCCTCCATCCTTTTCTTTAGGCTTCCTTGAAGATCCTTTTTCAGAGGCTGCCTACAAAACACAGGTTGGCCTTAGTTTCTGTCTGTTTCTTTTCTGGGTCCATTTATTTATTCTGCCAGTCTCCCCAGGCATTCAGTTTGATGGGATACTGTTATAGAAAGAATTGCTCTGCCCAGTGATGAATATCCCCTGGCCAAATGGGGTGTCCTAACAGATCTTAAAAGGAGAGACTATTCCTGTCCCCAGATCATAAACTAACTGTACTGAAACCTACTGCCACATCTTTTGTGACCATCAACCTCCACCCCCCAGGGGTAAAAGTGACTGGAAGGCAGGGCAGAGGCCACATTCTCTTTGACCGATTTTCTACAGCCCAGGCAGCCTTTTTGGGATCTTTTTCCAGTTTAGGACTAGTATTCTTGACCACAATGAGAAGATCTGTAGCTGCCTGGGGCCAGATGAGTAACAGTGCTGAGAGTGCCAGCACTGGGTTTAAAAGATTTAAATCTTTTTAACCATTTCTTCTGGTGTCCTGCTATCCTTGCCACCAGAGGCAGTGCCTTTTGGCACCTTCAAATTAGTTTCTGATAGTTCAGACCCCTTATCATGCAACTGCATAAATGCCTGTACATATAGAATCTCTTTCATACTTTACCCCTGACAGACCAACTTTAATGTCAAAATTGTTTAATAATTCAGAAGAAAACATTCAAAGGCTAGATTGTGTTTCAGTAAACCCTCTTTCTCTTAGACAGGTTTATTCCTATAAGTGGCCCATGCAGCCAAGATCT